ATGGGCAGGGAAGGGGGTGGGGGAACAAAAGATGGGAAAGAGAAAATAAAAAAGAAGATGATAACAAACAAAACAGAACCAAACCAAAGAGAATTCGAACCCAAAAGAAGCGGGTGTCAACCAAAGGTGAGATGGACCGGTGGGATGGTGGGGGGGGGGCTGGCCAAGAACCTGCACTCGCCTTCCCTTCCGGAGCGGGGCCCACAGTAGGTCTCAGGCAAGAGCTGTGTGGGACGGGGAAAGAGAAACGGAAGCCCCATCTGTTGGGCACCTACTGCGTGCCAGGCCATATGCCAAGGGCCGCATATAATCTAAAGAGGCATTCACTCACTGAACACCTACTACGTGCCAGGTATCATATGCCAAGAGGAGCAAGAAAAGCCCCACCTACAGGGTACCTACTATGTGCCAGCACCTTTGCCAAGGGGAATAGCAATGGAAGCCCCATCTATTGGGCACCTACTATGTGCCGGGCACTTGCTAAGGGCTTCGTGGAATAGCAAAGGCACACCTACTGTGTGTCAGGCACCGTCGCCAAGGGAAAAAGCAATGAAGCCTCACTACTGGGTACCTACTACGTGCCCACACTTGCCAAGGGCTTCACAGAATAAGAGCCCCTACTTACTGACCCCACTGTGTGCCACATACTTCCCAAGGGCTTCGTAGTATAACATATAAAAGCCTGTATTTATTTTATTCTATTTATTTATTTGGCACTAGGGATTGAAGTTGGGTCCTTGTGCTTGCGAGGCAGCTGGCAGAACCGGTGAGCTAAGTCCCCGGCCCTAAAAGCCTGTATTTATTGGCCCCCTTTGGTGCTTCTGGCAGCACATGCTGATGGGGCCGACCATGAAAGCCCTGCCTGTGGGCACCTGCTGTGAGCCAAGCACTACCCCAAGGGCTGCACGCACTTGTTCGCTGAATGCCTACTGTGCGCCAGGCATGGCTGTGAGGGCTTCACAGTATTTTATGGGAAGAACACGGTGCACACTTTCTTGGGGCAAAAGCGTCTATCCAGTGAGCACTGCGGCAGCCAGACACCCCAGCGGGCATCTCCACTGCGACTAGGGGCAGCCCCCGGCCTCGCTGGAGGAGCTAATAACGCCACACCTGGAGCACCTACTGTGTGCGTCAGGCCAAGGGCATCACACATTAACAAAGTGCCAGTCCGCTGCCTGCCCACTGCATCAGGGACAGCTCTTTACTGAGCACCTACTGTGCATGGAACAGAGTGCTGCCGTTCTGAGTCCCCACTGTGCGCACTACGCACTCCCGAGCCACAGCGCACCTCATCTGCTGAGCACCTAGTGTGGGCCGGGCATGGCAAGAGCTCCCCAAAGGACCATTTACACAGCACGAACTCTGTGCCAGGCACCGCATGTGGGGCTCTTAGCAGAAACAGGAGTGGTGCCCGCACGGGGTAAGCATCTAGTGTCAGATATACTGTGCTAGGGCTTCACTACAAAAGCACAAGTCCCACACATTAAGCGCCCACTGCGTGCCAGGAGTGGGACCACAGGCCTTGCAAATGCTAAAAGCCCCTCCATATTAAGTACCTACTATGTGGCCGGGACTGTGGTAAGAGCGTTAACGGACAGCACTAATAGCCCGCACTTACAAGCCCCTGCCACATGGCACTGTGCCGAGGACCCTCCATAAAAACGGTGATAGGCTGTACTTGTGGGCCTCTACTATTAGTACATGGTGCCAAGGGCTTTGCAGATAACTGCGCATTCTGAGCAGACTCTGTGTCTACTGCACAAGCTTCTGGCCCTTTCAGACTGACGGTGCCTGCCTGAGCACCTACCAGGCCTCGCCACTGGGTGCTGTGTATCAGGCACTATACCCAGAGGCCCTGTAGGGCATTAGCCACAGTGCCCATGGTTTTGCAGACCTACTGTGCACCCGGGCCCTGGTCCAGCTCTGCCAACAGTCGACAGCTTCTGTCTGCCGAGGGCCAACTGTTGTGTTCCACCTGCTCCAGACTGAGATTTCACACAGCACTTATGCTGCCCCTACTGTGTGCCTTGTGGTGCGGTGAGGGCTCTTGGAGGCTCCCAGTCTGTCTCACACTGAGCTCCCGCCCCACCCTCTACAGAATCGCAGCATCGCCCTGACAGGGCCTGGGTTGTGGTGTCTGCCGAGGACTCTCTCCACATCCTCTCTGATCCTCACACCCCTGCGGGTGGCTTGCACTGGCACGGATACTGCCACGTGCTGTCCCCACCCCGGGTGACCCGTGGGGAGCCCAGCTTCAACCCACTGGAAGGTGCTCTGCTGTCCCCGTGTGACCAGCTAGGTGTCAGGCCCACACCACATTTTTTTTTCTTTTTGGGGGGTGCTGGGGATTAGACCCAGGACCTTTGTACTGAGCTCCCGCCTCAGCCATTTATTTTTTGAGGCAAGACATCCGTAAGTGGGCCCAGGCTGGTCTTGAACTGGCAATCCTCCTGCCTCAGCCTACTAGCATGCTGGGATGAGAGGTGTGCGCCTCCACACCCAGCTCCCACTCCGTCTGCTTCTGTGTCTCCTCTCAAGGCTTCCAGAAGCACAGAAGCAGGTTGTGCTTTACAGGTGAGGAAACAGGCTCAGAAACATCAGAGGCCAATGCGCAGCAGGGCTGAACGCAGCTCCTGGCCGTGTTGGCTTGAGGTTGGGGGTGCAGACCCGGGGGCCGCACTGTCTGTGTAGCCCAGGATGTCTGCACCCGGGAGGCCATCGAGGCCCTGGCAGTCGTCACGGTGCACTGCGCTGGCGTGGAGCCCCGGAGCTCGTGTTTACTGAGCACTTACTACGTGCTGGTCTCTGGGACCAGAGACACCAGGCTACGCCAGCCACCACCCTGGCTACTTCAGCCTCGGTCGGGGCAGACCCTCCCTCGACACCGAGCACTGGGGTGGGGGCTCCTCATTTCTTGACCAGCCACCCCAACCAAAAGTGCCCAGGGGAGACCAGGCAGGAGTGGGAAAACCAACTGGGGAATGCGCCAGAAGGAATGGATTTACTGAGAAAAGGGAGGAAAAAAATAAAAGAGAACTAAAACCATAATAAAATTGGAGACAGTGGTGATGGTGATGATGATGGGAAAAACCATAATAAAAGAAAGAAAGACGCCGTCCAGAAATCTCCCAGTCTGTTACCTACCTTCGCTCTCCACTGCTAACTTACAGACTTTCTTACGAGGGGGCGGCGGCGGAGGGAGGACTGAGCTACGGGCGAGAACGAGCTCCCGGGGT